GATGATGATGATGATGTTGCTGCTGATGATGACGATGATCATGATGCTGCTGATGATGATGCTGATGCTGATGCTCATGACGATGAGGCTGCTGATGACGATGACGATGACGACGACGATTACGATGACGATGACGTGATGATGATGACGACCATGATGATGATGATAGCGACGATGACGATGACGATGACGATGGTGATGATGCTAATGATGATGTGGATGAGGAGGAGGATGATGATGCCGATGACGATGACCATGCCGATGATGATGAGGATGATGGTGAGGATGACTTTGACGACGACGATTATGATGATGATGCTGATGCTGCTGATGATGATAATACTGATGATGACGAGGATGATGCCGGTGCTGATGATTATGATGATGATGTTGATAATGATGATGATGATGATGATGATGATGACGCTGATGATGATGATGACAATGTTCGTGGTGGTGGTGGTGATGATGATGGTGACGGTGTTGATGACGATGACGATGATGATGTTGATGATGCCGATGATGATGACGATGATGATGATGATTATGATGATGGCGATGCTGATGGTGATGATGATCATGCTGGTGGAGGTGATGATTATGATGAGTATGATTATGGTCATCATGATTATGCTGATGATGCTGATGATGATAATGATTATGATGATGATGATCATGATCATGGAAGCGGTGGATGATGGTTTTGGTGGTTTTGGATGGTGATTGGTGAATGCTGTACGGTGGTGGTGATGGTGTCGTGGTGGTGGTGATGATGATTGGGATAATGATGATGCTGCTGATGACGAGGAATTGTGATGGTGATCGTGCTTATGGTGGTGGCGATGATGATGACGACGATGATGATGCTGGTGGTGATGATGATGATGATGATGATGATGATGATGATGGTGATGGTGATGATGATGGTGATGATGCTGATGATGATGATGCTGATGCTGATGCTGATGTTGTTGATGATGATGATGATGATGATGATGATGATGATGATGATGATGGTGCTGATGGTGCTGATGCTGATGCTGATGCTGATGTGATGATGATGCTGTTGATGAGGAATGATGAGGATGATGAACGGTGGTGGTGGTGATTATGATGATGCGCTGATGAATATGGTTCTGACGTTGTTGCTGCTGTTGCTCCTGCTGATGGTGATGCTGCTGCTGATGCTGATGGTGCGGAGGAGTTGGACGCGGAATATGATAAAGGAGGAGAGAGGAGGAGAGAGGAGGAGAGAGGAGGGGAGGAATGAGAAGGGGGAGGAAGGTAGAGGAGAAGGAGGAGGAGTCGGCTGTTTCTACAAAAACTTTGAAATTTGATACTGCAGTTCGTTGGCATACCAGGCCTCTACTCTGATGGCCATTCCTGCATGGCAGGGCACGTTTTTTCTTCCAGCTTGAGTTCTAATGCCGCTCTTTCGGCTTAGGTTTCACGGGCGCAGGGGCAAGCCAGCCTTTGCGGCCCAGGTAGATTTTCGGAAGCCGTGCTTCCAAGGTGTATGTAGCAACTCCGATCGCAGTATTACCCTGGAGCGTGTGCTCATGTTGGTGACGACCTAGTCGGATCAAACAACATGCAGGTGCAGATGTGATGTGCTCCTTCTCTTGCCCTCCTCTTGTTTTGCATTTCGGGTGCCGATTGGACAAGCGACGCGATTCCGACTGGCGTCAAGTGTCCTGATCTTGTGTAGGATTGGACCTGGTGTTTCCTCTCCTTCACCCTCTTCCCCTTGCCCTCTCTCCTCCTTTCCGTGTCCCCTTACCACCTCCTGGTTGGGTCAGGGTGGAACGACAAGGGGCACATTTCGTAGTGTCCATAGTGGCCTCTGCAATAATAATGTATCACGAAACGAGACTTCTTACACGCCTTGCATAGCTCCACCCACCCATCCAGAAACGATTGCTACGCCAGTTGCATATGTATGCAGTATGCAGTATGCATGTACGTATGTGTTTGAGTGCGTATCAATGTTATTGTTGACGGGTCCAGAGTTCAACGCGCCACCAGAGGTTGTGTGTGTGCGTGTGTTTTCTATTCCTCGGGGTCCCTTCTTTGGGATCAATCCCTGTGAGGATCCATCCCTCGGGATTCAGGGTTCGTCTTGATTGCTCAAGGGGTCCGCAGGGTTTCTCGGGGGCCCTCAGGATTATTTAAGATTCCTCAGGTTTCCTCTGGATTGTTCCGGATTCCTCCGGATTCCTCAGGGGGAGTTTTCAGGATTCCCCAGGAACCTCCAAGAGGTGGTCCTCACGATTTCTCAGGCAGGTTTCCTCAGGATTCCTCAGAAGGGGGTCTTCAGGATTCCTCAGACTTCTTCATGACTCTGCAGGGGGATGCGTCAGGATTCCTCAGGTGTTTGCAGGGGTTGCCAGGAAACCTGGGGGGATGCTCAGGATTCTTTCAGGATTCTTCTGGAATCCTCGGGGAGGGTATTCAGAATTCTTCCGGATTTCTGAAGGGGGGTCTCTCAGGTTCCTAGGTGTTCCTGTGGGTTCTTCAGAGGAGCCCTCAGGGGTGGTCCTCAGGATTCATTCGGCTCCTCAGGGGGGGGTCCTTAAGATCCCTCAGGATTCCTCGGGATCTCCCAGGTGTCCTCATGGGTCCTCAGGATTCATCAGATTTCCGCACCCAGGAGTCCTCAAGGGTCCTCACGGGGACCTCGGAATCGATGTTCCCGGAAGCCTCTCCTGGAGCATCGGCATCGAAGTGCCCAGAGGTATTCAGATAAAACCAGTCGAATTGAGAACAAAAAGACGATAATAGTTGACGATAAGGCGGGGATTGAGAAAGAAGGCCGGGAAATGCGCTCGAAGCGAGAGAAGGCTGAGGAGGAGGGTGAGGAGGAGGAGGAGGCGGAGGAGGAGGAGAGGAGGAGGAGGAGGATGAGGAGGAGGAGGAGGAGGAAGGAGGAGGAAGGAGGAGTGGACGGGGGACGCAGGAAGACGGTGGCAGAAAATGACTGGAACCCACAGGGGTCCTAAGGACCTGCAAAAACTTTGAGGTGTCCTTCGGAACCCAGAGGAAGCCGGAAGAACCGTGAGGAGTCCTTAATCCTGAAGAGTCCTGAGGAGCCCGGAGGGACCCAGAGGACTCCTGATGATTCCTGAGGGTTCGTGGGGGATCTTGCCAAACTCATACAATATGCAAGGATCCCAGCCCCTCCCAGAAATCTTGTACATTTGCTCCGTTCCCCTAACAGTGCTTGCACGGAGGGAATCTTGAGTTGTCTTAACCATTTGGAAACCAGTGCCGGCTTTTCGTCGCCGTGCCGTCCGTCGCCGCCGCTCGGGGCGAGTGGCGGTTTTTGCAGGCGGTGCTGCCCGTCGCCGCCGTCGTCGCCGTCGCCGCCGCTCGAGGCGAGTGGCGGGCTTTGTGGGCGGTGCCACCCGTCGCCTCCGTCGCCGTCTCACAGAGTCTCCTTTCTCAGAAGAGAGTAGGTTCTGCCCCCCTCCCCCCCCCGGGGTTAAAGATTCCCCGAGAACCGATGCAAAACACACAGGACTCTGACCCAATATCCATCCTTCCTGTGCAATCAGATTGTCCCAGCGAGGCCGGTATCGACCCCCCCCCGCCATCCTCTGCAACAAAAATATGCGCGCACATTCGTTTATCAAAAACCATAAGTTTTCAAACATCCATTGCACAAAAAAAAACAGGACAAAGTGCACGCACGCTCGTCGTCGCGCGCGCATGCCGAAATCCTTCAAAAACCTTATGTTTCGGAAGTATGTCAAAGTCGAGTGTCCAACAATCGTACAAACAAAAGCAGAGTTTCGCAACACGGATTGTCAAACAAACGTGCGCGCGCTCTTGCGAATTCTGAAGAAACCATAGGCTTCTCAATAGTTTGAAACATACAACCAAACGGGCTTCGCGCGCGCGCATGTCGAAATCTTTCCAACGCCCTTGCGCGCGTGCCGTCGCGAGAATCCTCTGCAAGAAAATGGGGCGAAGTGCACGCGCGCGCGTCGTCGCGCTCGCATGCTGAAATCCTTCACAAACCTTCGGTTTCGGAAGGATGTCGAAGTCGGGTGTCCAACAAACATACAAAAACACAAGGTTTGGCAACACGGATGTTCAACAAAAGCGTGCGCGCGCGCTCTTGCGTCGTCGACATCGTCGTCGTCGTCGTCGCCGTCCTGCCTCCTCCCTCGTCGTCGTCGTCGCCGCCGTCGTCGTCCTCTGTCTTTCCTCGTCGTAGTCGTCGTCGTCGTCGTCGTCGTCCTCTTCGGCGTCGTGGTCGTTTCCGTCGTCGTTGTCGCCGTGGTCGTCCTTCCTCCTCCCTCGTCGTCGTCGTCGTCGTCGTCGTCGTCCGTCGTCGTCGTCGTCGTCGTCTCGTCGTCGTCTCGTCGTCGTCCCTCCTATTTCGTCGCCGTCGTCGTCGTCGTCGTCGTCGTCTTTCCTCCGTCGTTGTCGTCGTCGGCGTCGCCGTCCTCCCTCCTTCTTCTTCGTTCGCGTCGTCGCCGTCCTCCCTCCTCCCTCGTCGTGATCGTCGTTGTCGCCGTCGTCGTCCCCCCTCCTCTCTCGTCGTCGTCGTCTTTGTTGGCGACATCTTCGTCGTCGAATTCCTCGTCGTCGTCGCCATCGCCGTCGTCGTCGTCGTCGTCGTCGTCGTCGTCGTCGCCGTCGTCGGCGCCGTCGTCGGCGTCGTCGTCGTCGTCGTCGTCGGCGTCGTCGTCGTCGTCGGCGTTGTCATCGTCGTCGTCGTCGGCGTCGGCGTCGGCGTCGTCGGCGTCGTCGGCGTCGTCGGCGTCGTCGGTGTCGTCGTCGTCGTCGTCGTCGTCGTCGTCGTCGTCGTCGTCGAAGTCGTTGGAGACGTCGTCGGCGTCGTCGTAGTCATTGTCGGCGGCGTCGTCGTCGTCGTGTCTGCAGCCGTCGTCGGCGTCGGTGTCGTTGCCAGGTGCCGTTGGGTACCTACCATCACGGTCTTGAGAGGTCTTGAGACTAAGCTGCGGGTGGGAGGGCGGGATGTCTGCACGAGCAGCGCAGAGGGCAGGTTCAAGCGGGGGGCGGCCGCGCCTCCTGGGGCGCGCCTCTCATGGACGACCGCCCCCTGCAGCTGGCGCGACTCCGAGGGGGGCAGACGGGCAGACGGCGGCGCGCACGGGGAACGACGAGCGCCCCAGCAGGACGAGCGCCGAGCGGATGAGCTGACGGCCGCGGCCGCGAGCACTCTGGCGAGCGGTCACAGCAGCGCGAGGTCCACGGACAGCAGCCTCCCGAGCTCTGCGATGCTCGAGCCCTCGCGGCTCGGGCGCGCCGCAGCGGGCCCGCCGGAGCCGGAGGAGCTGTGCCACAGGCATCGGTGGTTCAAAGATGGGGTCCTGGGGATGGGGTCCTCAGGAAGGGATCCAATGGGTGGCTTTGCACTGTTCGAGACACCTCGGACCCCACCTCTGAGCCAGCGAAGGCAGTGGAGCACGAGCTGCTTCAGCGGCGCGGACCCGCAGGAGGCGGGGTCCTGGGGCTATAGCCCCCGCGACATCGCCCCCGTGACTCATCCCTCAACCCCCCAACCCCCCGACCGGATTTCTTTTCTTCTTTCCGCGGGGGGTCAACCTTCGCGGCGACCCGTTAAACCCGGGACCCCTGGCGGCGCATGGATTTCTTTCCTTCTTCCCCGCGCGCGTTGCCGTTGGAACCCCTGAACCCCTCCGACTACCGTACAACTCGTACTTGAGTACAACTGGTACTATCATGTCCTATCGCGCAGTTGTTCCTAGAGAGCACGTTGTCCTGCCGTGCAAATATTCGAGTGCAGCTGGTATCATATTACAGCTGGTAAAATTGTGCCCCCTAGAACAACGCCCTATCGCCAATCCCCAGTACTAGTACAACTCCATGGTACAACTCCCGAGCACAACTCCCCCGTACAATTCCCCGGTTTAAGTGGTACTATAACAACTCTCTGATCCAAGTTCCGAGTGCTAGTACAACTCCCTCGTACAAGTCCTTGATGCAACTCCTTGGTGCAATTCCCGAGTAATAGTACAATTTCTAGTGCAAGTCTGTAGTGCACTTCCCTAGTACTACTACAATTCCTTAGTACAGTCTAAAAACCATTACAAAAACAAAGCTTTGTTCTTTATTTAGCGTTCATTGTTTGGAAGAATCCTGAGTATATTGGGTTTCAATATATTGGGTTTCCAATATTAAGTTCCCAATATATTGGGTTTCCAATACTGAGTTTCAGCTGTGTCGGTTTCCTATATATTGGGTTTCTAATTTCTTGAGTTTCCAATATATTCGGTTTCCAATATATTGGGTTTCCAAGATATTGGGTTTCCAATATGTTGGGCTTCCAATGTATTGGGTTTCCAATATACTGGGTTTCCAATATATTGGGTTTCCAATATACTGGGTTTCCAATATAATGGGTTTCAAATATATTGGGTTTCCAATGTATTAGGTTTCCAATATATTGGGTTTCCAATGTATTGGGTTCCTAATATATTGGGTTCCCAATATTTTAGGTTTCCAATATATCGGGTTTCTAATATATTGGGTTTCGAATATATTGGGATTCGAATATATTGGGTTTCCAATATATTGAGTTTCCAATATATTGCGTTTCCAATATACTGGGTTCCCAATATATAAGCCCGAACCCGAACCCAAACCTCACCGGCTGTAATTCAGTTGTTCCCGTACTAATACAAATCCCTAGTGCAACCGCGATTAAGGTGTTGTTGCATTGCACTTACAGTCTCGGCTCTCACGCTTTTCTTCCTCTGGTTGCGCTTGGGGGGGTGGGACCCCTCGCGCGGGCACCCCCGCGGCTGGGAGTTCATTCCTCTTCCGGAATTTGAGGGGGGGGTAACCCCCGTGCTCGAACCCCATCGCCAGGGTTTTTTTCTTTCCTCCGCGGAAACCGGACCCCCTGGGTTCTTCGGCGCGCCCCATTTTTTTGTTCTCTCCGGTTGGGCCTCCATGGGTCTTAGGTTGGAGTCACCCGGGTGATCCCGCGACGGGCCGGCCGGGGCGGCGCCGGGCGGCCCGCCAGTGCTCCGGCGGTCGCTCTCGGTCCGGCGGCGAGAGATGCGCGTCTCCGCGAGGATCCGCCGCGCCGAGGATGATGGGTCCATTTTCCATAGAATGGAAGACGGGGAACTCCTCCTCCTCGTCCTCCTCCTCCTCCTCTTCCTCCTCCTCTTCCTCCTCCTCCTCCTCCTCTTCCTCCTCCTCTTCCTTCTCCTCTTCCTTCTTCTCCTCCTCCTCCTCCTCCGCCTCCTCCTCCTCCTCCTCCTCCTCCTCCTCCTCCTCCTCCTCCTCCTCCTCCTCCCCTTCCGTAGCCATTTTGGCTCAAGCCTGGCTCGAATCCCCCCTGGCGCGCGGTTCGGGCATGATGGTTGCGGGAGGCCCTCGGGCGGCGCCCTCTGGGGCGATGTCTGGAGCAGGGCCACGTTGCGGGCAGGCCTGGGCCCGACGCTCGGCGGCCACGCTTGCGCGCAGGCTGCGCAGGGAACGAGCCCTGGAGCGGGACGGGGCCACGGCGACGGCTGCTGCCGCTGCTGCGGTGGCGGTGCTGGCTCCCCCCACGGACCTGGCGGACGCCCTTGAGGATCGCCTCGTCAGCCTCGGCAGGGCGCTGCTGCTGCACCACAGGGCTGACGTCGCCCATGGCCGCCACATGCATCGACTGGGCGATGCACTGCGCGCGGTGGCCAAGACGCTCGGCGTGGACACAGACTTCGTGCACAGAGGCATGGAGATCAATAGCGACGGCGACAAAACGAGGCACCAGCCGCTTCTTGCAGCGACGCCTTCGGCTGCAGTGGATTGCGTGGTCGAGATTTGCGTAGCTGATGTTGTGGCGAGCACAGTCAAGGTGGATGCGGCTGTGCTGCCACACGGGAGTGTGCTGCGGGCGGAGGCGCCTGTATTCGCCCCCCTCGGCCTCCTCGGCGCAATCGCGCCCGACTACTGCGAGGACCAGGTGCCAATCCAGCTGGATACGGTCGCGCCCTTCGTCCAAGAGGGCCAGGCGACCCAGTGCGAGACGGGGTTCCATGAGGAGTCCTGCGACGACGCGGAGCTCGACGTGACCATCGAGGAGGACGGCGATGCCACGGCCTGCACGGCCGAGCCACCGCCGCCGGCAGCCGCGTGCAGTGCTGCGGTCGCCGTCTATCTGACAGCCCACCCCGCGGCAATCCTTAGCGGGGGCTACTGCGCTGGTGAGGCTTCTGGCGCTTATCTTCAAGGTCAGCCTCATGCTGAAGGTTTTCGCGGAGCTTTTCATCTCGCCACTGGTATTCTGGGTGCTGCTCATCAGGAGCCTGGAGGCACCACACAAAATTCCCCGCCGTGCCGAGACACTGTCCTCGGTATACGGCGGGGTCCCTGCAGTGCCGAGACGCAGTCCTCGGTAGACGGCAGGATGGGCCCTACGAGTCCCTCGCCGTGCCGAGACGCAGTCCTCGGTAGACGGCGGGGTCCCTGCAGTGCCGAGACGCAGTCCTCGGTAGACGGCAGGATGGGCCCTGGGCACGTCGGCGACGACCACACGGGGTCTCAGGAGCTCGCCGACGGGGACGCCCACCTCAAGCGCGCTGCGGCCAGGCTGGCTGACACTGTGGCCGAGGCCGCGCGCCTGGCGCGCGCCGCGGCGGTGTCCTCCCGCCCTGCCCTGGGGTCTGACGGCCCTGCGGCCACATGGCCACTGCTGGAGCGGCAAGATCGCCAGGCTGACGCGGTGCTGGCGGCCAAGATCGGCGATCACACGGAGTTCAAGCAGGATTTCAAAGATGTCGTCACCGACGCCAATGAGACGTGCTGGCAAGAAATGGTCGAGGTCATCCGTGGCCGTGCCGTTTCGACGACCTTGCCAGACGGCTCGCGCAGGACATACCAGCAGCCCCGCGGGGTGCGCCACGCGGCGCTGTGCTGGTGCCTGCAGTGCCTTGACGATCAGAACGTCGCGGCCGAGCGGCGCCCGCCTAGCTGGCTGCTCCCGCGCACCTTGCCTCCACCGCTGCTGGACACCACGATCCGCAAGCATGGCGGGCATCGTCGCGACCGACGCGCTACTGCTGCTCTGCGGGATCGTGCCCGCCAGCTCCAGTCCTGCGAGCAGGAGGACAGCGACGAGAGCGAGAGCGGGGAGAGCGCTGACGACCCTCTGTACGAGCACTTCGGCCCTCGAGCGGTAGGCAACCCATCGAGATGGAGGTGAACGTACTGCAGTGGGTCTCCCGTACGCGTGCTGTGCACGTACGACCGCCTGGACCGCTTCGGCCCGTGCGCCATGGAGTGGTTCTTCAAGGTCGGCGTGGGCCGAGCCTGGGGTTAAACCCAGGCTCGGCCTACGCTCAGGGAAGGTCGCCCCGCCCGTGCCCTGAGCGCGGGCGGCGGCGGTTCAGACGGGACACTGCGTCCCTCTTGTATCTCGTATCTCGTATCCTCCTCCTCCTCCTCCTCTCCTCCTCCTCCTCCTCCTCCTCCTCCTCCTCCTCCCTCCTCCTCCTCCTCCTCCCTCTCCTCCTCCTCCTCCCTCCTACATGTGTAGTGGCGGTGGAAAATCGGCCATCAGAGAGCGCAGGCGGCTGGCGCCGCCCCCGCCCGCGCGGGCGGCCGCGCTGCCCGGGCGCTCCGCGGGCGCCGCTGGCGGCGCGGCGGCGGCCGGCGCCCGCGCGAGCGGCGCGGCGGCGGGGCGGGCCCAACGCTTGCCGGCGGCCGCGGCCGGCGGGGCGGCGAGGTGGTCGGGGCAGGCCGCCGTGGGGGCCACGGCTGCACAGCTCGTGGCCCGGTGCAGTGGCCCTCGCTCCAGGCTTTGGGCGTCGCGGGAGGGCCCTGAGATCTCGGCGTGGCCATCTTTTCACAGCGGGCGTTGTCGCGCTCGAGTTCGGGCCCCGGGGCCCACGCAGATCGATCGATGCCTGCGGCGCCTGGTGGCATTTCGGTCCCGAGGCGTGTGCAGCCCAGCCACGTCTCGCGAGCATCGTGGCGGCAGCGTGGCGCGCCAAGCTCGGCGTTTTCCGTCGTTCCTGCCCTCCCTCCTCCTCGTCCCGCCCTTCCTTCTTCCTCCTCCCGTTCCCTCCAATTTGCGCACGCTTTGCCATGCGTGTCAGAAACAAGGATGCCGCCACACAGTGCATGTGCACATTTTCGTCAGTGCTTTAAAAGCCAGGTGCCCGCCCAGGGGGGGACATTTTGCTAACCTCTGCTCGGGCCGCTGTGGGCAAATTGGTGCCGATAGAATGCACACCACCAGCTGGTCAATCCGTCGGTGCCGAAACTGTGTAGTGAATTCCCCTGGCTCACAATCCAGAGACGCTAGAATGCAGTCCCCGTTGTGGTCTGAATCTTTGGCCTCACTCTTCAGCGATTCTCTGGCCGGTCGGCCGGCCCTGGCCTGCGACCGATTAGATTGCCGTGCGGACTTATTGCGGGCCTGTTTGGCGTCTTGGCATCGTCGCGCGAGGCGACGTTGCTCACAAGTCGTGCAGATTCGATGGTACCCCGTTTTCGGGGGATGCCAGCCCGTCGATCTATTTATCGCCAGTGCTTATGAGAACAGCCCGCGTGACCAGTCGCGCGCACCCAGAGCGCGGTGACGTTCATGCGGGCGGCGCTGTCAGACAGTTGTTCGCCGATGTTTAGGTGAACAAGGTAGTTTCGCCACTGCTTAGGAGAACAACTTGCGTAAGCAGTCGGGCGCATCCGGCAGGCAACTTCGAAATTGGTTGCAGCGTCGCTCGCTGCCTTTTCCGTGTCCGTCGAGCGCTCGGGTGGCAGCCCCTTCCCCTCTCGTCTTTGTCCTCCCGCCCCTGCCTCCGGAGGCGGAACGCTGGCTTGCCCTGCTGGGGTGGGCCTGCTTTCCCTCTCCTCTGCCTGTCTCGTCCTCGCTCCCCCCCGAATTCCGCCACTCGGAGCTCCAGATCTGGTCCGCGGAGGGCTGGTAGCCAGCGCTGCGGGTGCGGCTGCGCCCCGTTCTTCTTTCTCCCCTCGTCGCTGTTTCGGTTGTTCGTCTCTGCCGTCCTGCTCTGCTCCTTCCTCTTCTTGCATGCCGCCTATCATTACGTGTGTGATAGCTGTCTGCTGCAGCCCCCCAGCGCGCCACTGTGGTGTGGCACTGCTTATTGTTGCGTGTTTGGTTAGATCTCGGATGCGCACAACGGCTTGCCTACGGCAGGTTGGCTTGAGCGCTGCTCCTTGAGCGCTGGTTTGATCCTCCGCCTCCTCCTTCTTTGTCCTCCCCTCCTCCCTCTTCTTCCTCCTCCCGCTTCTCCTTCTGTTTTGGCGAAGCTTGTTCGCTTGGAGTTGGGTTCCAAGAGCATGGCCAGACATTGGAGATGTCTCAGCCTCATCGGCACGCGAGGTCTTCGGTTCTGACCGCCTCGTCTCCTCTGTTCCTATTATGTCTCTTGTCGTTTGAGTTTGCGTGGTGGCTCACGGAACTTAGACGCGTGCCAGGTCATATGTACGATTTGCGTTTCAGGGCACGTCATTGGTTGTTAATTCGCCATCACCACCGGCTCGTAAACTGATGCAGAAAGCTGGGGTCAGGGGGTCCAGCAGTTTTTCCCGGAAAGGGCTCGAGCCCAGGGTTCTCTTTTAGTAGGTTTACCCCCCGGTTTTTACTTGAAGGGGGCCGGCGAATTTCTTGTGCGTAAATAACGAGGTAGAGTGCGGATTTTTTGCGTTTCGTGCGTGCCCGCTCGAGGAAAGTGCGCCCCCCATCTCGGATCCTCGATAAAAAACGGGGTCCGCAGACCCCCGTTTTCCCTTGTAAAAAAAAGGGTGCGGAGCGTTTTTCGCAGAATCCTCGACAAATAACGGGGTCTGGAGCCCCGACCGCGACGCAGAAAAGCGCACCGCGCGCAGGAATTCCGAGGATGTATCGCGCGTGCCGCGTCCCGCGCGCAGGAATTTTGAGGATGTCTCGACTATTTCGCTTGTTTAGCGAGGATTTCTGATTTTGACAGGACGTCTCGAGCGAAACGCTTGTTTTTCAGAATTTGTTGAGGATGTCTCGAGCGAAACGCTGGTTTTGCAAAATTGGGGGGATGTCTCGAGCTGGAGCCTCGTGGGTGGCCAGAATTGAGAGGATGTCTCAAGCGAAATGCTTGTTTTCACGTCCC